CAACGGGATCCTCGACTGCATGCGCCAGAGCTACCGCGCCGAGGGCTGGCGTGTGTTCACGCGCGGGCTGACGTCCACGCTGCTGCGCGCCTTCCCCGTCAACGCCGCCACCTTCGCCACCGTGACCATCGTGCTCACCTACGCACGCGGCCCCGAGGACCAGTCCGAGGACGAGGGTGTGCCCGCCGCCTCCGGGCCTGCGCTGGCCCAGCCCTCCAGCCTGTGAAGCCCCCCCTCCTTGACAGAGGGCATGACCTCCCCGGGGCCACCTTTCATCCACCCAACATCATACCGGCCCCCTGCCCAGACCGGAGCGCTGGGACTCCATCCGATCTGGGCCCGGTGCCACTCATCAGCGGGTTACCGTGGCCACAGCCTTGACTCCTCGTTTTTCTCAGCTGTGAAGTGGGGATGCTCACACCCACGCTGTGCAGTCAGGAAGCTGGCCCTGTTACCTGGAAGCTTCCAGAAACCCAGCCAACACTCCAGTGCTTCCCTGGGATCCCACCCACCACCCTGGCTCTCCTGTGGCTGGGCTGCCCAGTGACACTCACTGCGCATCCTCCACCTGGCAGAGCTCCAGGCCCCTCTTGGCCACCTGTCCAGGCTCTATGGTGAGGACAGGCAGCCCCGGTGCCTCCTGGTATCAGAACTGAACCTCTCCTAATGCACACCAGCTTCTCCACATGGCACTGCAGGGGGTACCCCTGCTGCTGCCACTCCCAGTGGAGGCTGACCTGGGACCGCCAAAAGGCCATGGGATTTGCTGGAGGCTCCGTATCCTCCATAGTTTTAAACACAGCCATGGGGAGGGGAAGTCTTATACCCTCTGGGGCTCAGGCTGCCCAACTATAAAATGGGGACACGGGTCGGCCGATATCTGGAGCTCTGGCACACTACCCCCAGCCAAGGTTTCCAAAGGCGAGTGGAGGGGTGGAGAGGGAGATAGTATGGGCCCTCCACCCCACCCTCCTTCTCCAGAAAATGGTGTCTTTCCTGGGCAAGCTCCTTGGTGCCTGGTGTTCCTGTGAGGTGGGAGGGCCCATTAGTGGGTGTGGCTGTGCCCAGTTTGGGCCCCTCCGGGTTGAGGGGGAGCTGAGCCCACGCTCTGCGGCTTCCACGCGAAGCTAGGGCTGCGGTGGGAACTCGGGGTAGCCCCGGCACATCCAGTACCGTGTGGCCATGTGACCGCCTGGGGAGGTGGATGGCTCTGCGTAGAGGAAGGTGCCTGTGGCCCCCTTTGCCCTGAGTGGGCTCAGCCTCTTGGGCAGTGTGCCAAGCTCTCCCAGGAGGCACTGTGGGCGAGGAAGATAGGACTCCCACCCTGTGCATGGGTGTCACTGGTATTAAAGTTATTTGTTTTTTAAGATCAAGGCTTCGTTTGTGTATCACAGAAGGGGCTTCATTCCACACCCTCCCCGGAGTGAGGGGCCGGCTAGGTGGTCTGCACCCTCCGGCCCTGATGGCAGCCCCAGCTGTGTGACCTGGGGTCGGCTTTGGGGCACGTCTTAGACCCTCAGTTTCCTGGTCTGCAATATGGGGCTAACAGGCATGAGGATCGAGTGAGCAGAGCTCAGATGTTAGGCAA